TCCTACCTCTCTCTCTCTCTCTCTCTCTCTCTCTCTCGCCCTCCAACCCGAAGCATAATGAGAAGAAGACGTCGGTCGATGGCTTTTCAGGTACTGTAGACCGGACCCCCCATCTCCTTCCGCGTCTCCTGATTCCTCTTGCCCCTTCTCGCAAGTCGCGTGAGAGAAAGGAGCGCGAATCAAAGCAGAGAGAGGTATAGTAGCAGGTGAGGAAACGAGACGGGTCTCCTGCTGCCGTGATTGCTACAGTATAAATAGAAGTTGTAGGAGCTAATTGTACAGGCCGCAGGAGAAAAAAAAATTCTCCCTGCATGAGTACCGAGCGCGGCGTTCGGTTTGAGGTGGTGAGGGTGTGCGAAAATCATGAGCCGCTCCGGATGTTCGAGACAAGAGGAAGTCTGTGGTCTGTTGGTTTGGCGTTACGGAGCGCGATACTTGATGCGCTACTTCTGGAGACACTTCCATGCGGCGGACCGTTGCGGTACCCTGCCGCCTACTGATACGCCGGTACAACCGGCGCCTACTATGGCGGCCCGCGCGTACGCTGGCTAGGAAGCTGGCGGTACTCGGAGAGCAGAATGTGCGAGGCTTAGAGGGCGAAAGATATTCCGGAAGCCGCCTTGGAGGACTGGATTATGGGATGAAGTTCACTGGGTTGAATGAAGTTTGAAGTTCAAGAAAGGTATACATGCAATAAGCGAGATTCTAAAGACGCTCTTGACGGGCGAGGTATCACCTGAAATGAGAAAAGGACAAGCCGGCTGGTAAAAAGTGCTTGCTGGCAGCTGCCTTTAATTACCTGTGTACTGAATGACTTTTGACGTTCACCTCTATCGTTCCCATTAAGCAACCACTGGGATTCTCATGGATCGATCATACGAATGTCATGGCATTGCCGGGATGGATTCCGGCACTAATCCATGCAATCTACCCGTGCTGCCGTTACCAGTTTGCACGCGACTTTAGCTTCTCATTCTGGATAATCTCGATCCAGTAGTTGTCCGGATCAAGGATGAAGGCTACGCTCTTCATGCGGCCATCTGTAAGACGCTTCTTCCAGTTAACACCGAGCTCTTCAAAACGCTTGCATGCGGCATCCAGGTCATCGACCGAGACGCAGATGTGTCCGAATCCTTGAGGCTGGTCGTTACCGTTGTGATACTTGAAATCAACGTCTTTCTCAGTACCATAGTTCCATGTCAACTCCAGCAGACCCTCACGATCAGCGGTAGGATTGACTCCATTAGCAGACGAATCAGGAACTCCCTTCTCTCCCGGGTAGCCGAGGAAGTAGAGGTTGAAGTTTGCATCTTTGTTCTCGCTGGTCCGGAGGAGACTCATACCGAAGACTTCCTTGTAGAACTTGAGCGACTTCTCTTGATCTTTGATACGGATCATGGTGTGGTTCTGAACGATGTCAAAATTTATGATGGTCCCATTCAATGAGAACTCTTGCAACTCACCATTCTATATGTCTCCAAGTTTGTGGTTTTGATGGCCTCAGTTTTGTCAACTGGATTTTGGCCGATAATCTCGACCCAGTACCCATCCGGATCCAAGGCGAAGGCAATGCTCCGCAAACGGCCGTCAGTTAACTTCTTCTGGAACTTGTATCCGGCATCTTCAATCCTCTGACATGCCGCCTGGATGTTATCAACGCTAATACACGTATGTCCGAAACCCTTATGCGGCTATTTCCCAATAAGTCAGGAATCAAAGTCTTCGTGACTTCTGGGACAATGGGCCTACCTCGGAATTGCCTGTCGAGACTTTGTACTCGGGATCATCCTCCGTGCCGTAGTTATGCGTCAACTCGATGAGGCCCTCCCGATCACTGAAGTGGTTTCCATGCGAGACGGCCTGTGGAGAATCATAGCCCAGAAAGTAGAGGTCGAACTTGGCTTCGGGTTGCTCGATCTTGCGGATCATCTTCATACCTAGGAATTCGTAGAACTTGACTGTGATGCCGTTAGACAATGTTTTTTGAGCGGCTGTGGTGAACACGGAAGGGTGTAAGGATATCAGGACTGACATACCCGATTCCTTTGGGTCCTTCACCCGGATCCTGCGTGGAGGTTAGTTGAGAGGTAGGTACCACAACTGTGACTGGGACGGTCCGTACATTGAATGGTTGAACTTGTAGGTCTGGAGGTTCGTTGCAGTCGCCATGGTTGCGAATGTTTGGATAGCTATCCTTTCTGGGTACTCTAGTCAGATATATATCTCATCGTTGGTAGATGGGGACTTGCAGACGTACCTGTGCCTGTATGCCGAAATCTTGTTTTGAGAGTTTTCAGTAAAGAGTAGTGAGTAAAGCGGATTGAGGACATGGAAAGTAAAGAAAGGGTGGTGTTGAGAAGGTTGAACGTGAATCGAGGGGAGCTCTTTTGCCCCACCCGACAATGACGTATTCGCTATACTTATTGATACTGTACGCTTGAATCTCTGGGACACGGAGAGAGGCCGAGATCCGTTGGTTCGGCTGGCTGACCTGGCTGACCCGGAGCAGAAGACGCGCCCTTGATAACCGAGACGAGACGCAAAAGTAAACAGATGTCCATCAGGCAGGCGGAAAAAGAGGTCGGAGGTACTTCGGTGCGCTTGAGCCAAGCCCATCAATTTGAAGCCCATAAAAGCTCCTCGAGCAATTCGGAAGCTCAAAGATACTTCTTTGCAACCCACGCCACGGCAACTAGCATCACTATAGATGTGGTTTCCCTCGGCGACAAGCTCTCTCCTCCTCCTCTCTCCTCCAGCCACTCCTCGCGTGCGTTCAGCAGAGGCAACCTTTGATGGTTCACAGCGTCGGCATCCAAGTACACCGCGAACAGGGCCCCCCAAACGATAGCAATGATAGAGAAGAGGTTGATGAGCAGATCGTTCGTGTAACCTTTGAGCACAAGACCCAGAAGCCAGAGGGTGATGAATTTAGCGGCCGCGAGCATTGCGGCTCGTATGATCACAGTAGAGGCCGTCGTTGTCGTCCGCGTAAACAAAAGCCTTCTATATATCAAATAATAGACTAGTAATGAGTCCGATGATCTTGTCCGCGACGACGCCGTTGTTCATAAGTAATACATGCCTCGTGATGTTTTGTGGCCGTCGCGATTGATTGACGGACTGGAGATAATTTTCTCCAGATACCTCGCTGGGGGCAATTTCCTTCCCAAACGTGAGTATACATCCTGCCTGCCGCCGCATCGATTGGAAGTCAGAGCAAGAGCAAGCCCTCACTTAAATACGTCGGAATGCCATTATTCATTGTACCCCCACCCAATTCAGCCGGGCGCAAACCGTTCACCACCACCACCACCACCACCACCACTAAAAACAAAAACACGAACGACACCCCATCGACCTCTCAACACAATCCCCAATGGCCACGCCGGCAACCCAAAAGCCCCAGACCCCGAAGCAAATAATGCTCCTCACCAAGCGTCTGACAGTCTTCCTCTCGCAAAACACCTCCCCCGCCCTGCCGACCCTCCTCCTCCTCTCTCCCACGGGAAAACTGCTCTCCAGCTCGAGCCCATCCCCAGCCTCGACCCTGCGCACCCAAGCCACGCTCGCCTGCTCCCTATGGATGCTCTACCAGCCAACGACCTCGTTGCTGCCATCGGCGCTGCCATCATCACACACATCAACGCACGCTCAGCTCCAAACGGGGCACGGGGGAGCGCAGGGCCGGGAAGGAGGGAGCAGCAGTTCGGGCGCGGGCGCGGGCGCGGGCGGGAGCACAGCCGGGAATCCGGACAGAGAGAGGGACGTGGAGGGCGCGGACGACGGCCTAAGCACCGTGACGATCCAGCTCAGTAACGGGGTCATGATCATCCGCTCCCTCAGCTGTGGCCTTTTGTTCGTCGCGATTGGGCCTGCGCCTGCTTCTGCTGCGGGCACGGCGCCGGGAACGCCGAGTTTGAATGCGGCGCAGGGTGCGGGTGTTCAGCAGATCGCGTTGTCGAGGCATGCGAGTCCGTCGGCCTCGCCGCCAGGGGATGAGGAGGGCAGGGAGAGGGAGGTTTCGGGGTTGCTGGCTGTGGGAAGTGCAGTGATGAGTGATGCGGGCAGCATACGGAGCTCGAGTACGATACGGACGGGTGGTTTGTTGGGGATCAAGAGGCAGGCAATGGAGGTGGGGAGGTGGTTAGATGGGCAGCTTGAAGGGTTTAGGTTGGGGAGTGCGGAGGGGAGGTGAGAGGGGAGGAGAGGAGGATGTGAGACTTGATGGAGTCGATAAACACAGCGTCTGAGGGAGGGGTATCGACGGTCTCAAACTCGTAAGGGGAAAGGATCGCAAAGAAAGTTCTCGCAAGGTAGAACAATATGGAGGGGTATATTGTCGACGGATGGTGTCAAGATTTTATCATAGAAAGGTAAGCAAGCAAGGTGTTTAGGCGTCTTTCCTCAGATTGATACCAATTAGCTTTCTAATGATATTTAAAGCCCACACACACCAATCTTCCTCCCCGAAATCGATGTGATATAAACTCGTCAGCTGTGCAAGGCGATGGACTGTTTTGGTCCAAGAGCTTCTGTGCCAGTCAGTCACCCACTCGTAGCAGATAACCAACTGCCTTGTCCAAGCCTCATACACGAATAGTCCTGCTGGCCAACGTACGGAAGCAGAGCACCGCAGCGCTTCGTAAGGCGCTCTTGTTTCAAATAACAACGCTGTGCACACAAAGAAGATGAGGCGGAGGAGGGTGTTGGATAGATGGGATAAAATGCCCAAGTGAGAGCGCCAGACAGATAAATATGGGTCTCTTCCTGCCAACGATACCTATTTATCTATTTCCCTCCCGTTCGTTTCTTTATGGACATTTATTATGCTATATATATACTAAAGAAGTCTCCTTCTCTTCTCTCTTCTCTCTTCTCTCTTCTCTC